ACAGATTGTTCAGGCGCAAATCTTGGTGGCGCCAGTCTTATAATCACGAATGTTGCGTCAGATGATGGCCGCAGTCCATTCCGGCTGTGTGGCCAATCAATACCTGATCCTGTGTACTCAGATGCAAGCTCCATTCAGATTACATTGATAACATCCAGCAATGCACTCCCAGGATTCAAAGCTTCGTATGAGACAGTTACTAATGAAATGCGTAAGTTCGTATAGTCTTTGTACACAGGTCCCTTCATATCATGCTATTGCTAGGTTTTCCATCAAATATTTTCGTTTGATAAATGATCATTTTTAACAGAATTTAATCCCAGAAACATTTAATTCACAAAGAGCATCTATTTCAAATATCTAAGGCCGCGAGGAATGTCTCGTAGCTAGCCCATAGATGTCAATCCGTGGTGCTGGCAAAAGGATCCCGGCTTTGGGGATGATGCATATCGCAAATCCATGGGAGGAAGGTTTACACCCCCACGGCCTCTACAGAATGGATTGGAGGAAGGTAGTTCCCGAGATTAGAGCAAACGAACTAAAAAAAAACCCCCACAGTTCCTTTAACTTTGAGACAATGACACAGCTTTTGCAGCTGCAAAGAACGTAACGGAAGTCTTAAAACTGAATTCAGGCTCATACAAGATTCAAACCCTTGACCTCGGCGATCATGGGCGGTGCAGCACTCTACCAGATGAGCTAACCAGCCAACTGGGAGTCCCGAGGGGGGGCGGAGAGGATACTCCGGATTTCACGTGACAGGGATGATAGAACAGAGCCAAAAATCAAAACCAAAAAATCCCAAGGGCTTCAAACAAACCCCCCAAGAATCCCTGGACCAACATTTAACCCCAGAAAAACTCCCATGCCGAATTTCCGAGCCATAAAAATTTCCAGAACACAGAGACAGTCGCAAAACAGCTTTGTTTTTATTTTAATCACGAAAGTATCACGTGGAAACTATCACGAATCTTCAGATTGTTTTGAATACCCCAAAAAAATCCGTCGTTTAATCAAGCTACCCGAAAAAAAAATTAACAAAATTTTCCTACCCAAAAAAATCCCATAATCGAAAATTTCAAACCCCAAAAAGTCCTTCGATCATCCCTGTCACTTAAAATCCCGATTACCCCCCTGGGCAGCGAGTAGTCTTTGAGTTGGCTCGTTATAAATTGATGACGACGATGAAATAATTAATAAATGAAAATCATATATACTATCTTTAAGTGTGCCCAAGAGCCTTGAGCGTGACGAAACTGTCAGGTGTTATCAGCAGCCCATACTATCCAAGGAAGTATCCAGTTAACCAAAACTGTCTCTGGGAAATCACTGCAAACAAAGGCAAGCATGTTAAGTTAGAAATAACAGACATGCAAATTCACAGATGTGGATCAGAGGGAGCTTGTACGTGTGATTATTTGGAAATTCGGCATGGATTTCTTGCTTCGGGTTTGACACCAGGTGCTGCAAGTGGGAAACTATGTGTTGATGGCTCATTTACTCGTCAGACATATTATTCCACCAATCAGCGCCTTAGTGTTAGGTTCTTTGCTGATCGTTTAGTCTCAAAGCGTCATAGAGGATTTAAAGCAACTTACACTCAGCTAAACTTCACCCCTCCAGGTATGTCTTTCTTATTTCAAATTATTATCAAAGTAACGTAATTGCCCTGTGTTGTAATTTTGATTCCTAAACATAGCTTTTGCAATACTTTATGTGTTTGTATGGTCATGCAAATAAAGATCGTTGTCAGTGTTGTTGTATTTCAAATTCATTTTGAACCAAATTTTTATGTTCGATGCTACCGTGGCGTTTCAATAGTTTCTTTCTCAGCAGCGTGTTAAGAGAAAATGGTTCAGGTATTTAAAAAAATAGTTGTCTCATGTATAAACAAGAAGTTGCTCAAATTATTTAAATTTCACCAGAAAGGCACTACCACCCTAAGTCAACGTAAGAAACTGCGAACCACTTGGTAAACCTTTTATTTCGTTTAAATAAATGAACTATAGCCACTGGTAGCCATTGCTTTCGTATTAAGTAAAATGAATACAGAAATGATCTTTTTATAGAATGCCCTTCGGCTCCTATCCAGCTATCTGGTATTGGATCATTCAGCAGCCTCAACTACCCTGTCGCGAACTACCCCTCTGGCAGAGCTTGTTTCTGGATCATTACTGCATCTCCTGGAAAACGTGTAAAGGTACAAATCACAGATTTTCAGATGGGCCGATGCGATGATTGCAGCTCTAATTTTTGTAGCCGCTTGGAGTTCTACGATGGTCCTACGGCAAATTCGTCGTCCTTGGGTCGTCTGTGCACCAACTCGGAGCTCACAGCAAAGATCTCAAGTGGTAACCAAATGTTTGTTAAATTCTATTCGTCGTTCTCACCAGATCGAGGTTTTCTAGCAGAGTACTCCGAATCTGATGAACAGCCATCACCGACAACAACGTCGGCGTCGCCATCAAGTAAAGGACCAGAAAGCAGTAAGTACAAATAGTACATTCACTGTTTCTACTTCTAATAGAAAGCAGGAGGTGAATATGGTAAGAATAAACAGCAAGGCTTTACAAACTTACTCATATCATACCCTTCTTGTACTGTATTTTCGCGATTTTTACAGTACTTTTAACGCAGCCACATCCCCAAAACAGTGCAAAAACCCGCAATATTTTAACAACAACAATATTTCGCAGACATTTTTTATGCGCTTTATCATTAATTCTTCTGCCTAGATCCATTTTCCTTTTTGGATTTTATAGCCTGGTCAGTGTGTTGTGCACGGAAACTTTTCTCGGGTTTGCCCTTTTGCCTTCTTAACATGAACGATTTTGTGATTACTTGAAACAGGTTGTGCCTTCAACTACACCAAAATCGGTTGTTTCAAAGATGACAGAAAGAACCCTCGACCAGTACCTGTCCTCGTTTTTACCGATCGCGATGTCAGCAGCGATGTGTGGAGTGGTAATACCATCGGCTGGCCCAACTGGGATACATACATAGTTGATCTGGTTTGCAGATGTGCAAATGAGTCAAGGGCAAGGAACTATTCCCACTTCAGCATTCAGTATTACGGTAACTGTCAAGCGAATATAGTACGAGGTTTTCTGGGTAACTGACGACCTACCCTTCCCCTAAGTCCACTTAGAGCAAAATTGTGAGTAAGGGGAGGGGTAGGTGGTCAGTTTCCCAGAAACCTGCAAATGAGTCAAGGGCAAGGAACTATTCCCACTTCAGCATTCAGTATTACGGTAACTGACAAGTGAATAGAGGTTTCTGGGTAACTGACGACCTACCCTTTCCCTAAGTCCACTTAAGGTAAAATTGTGACTTAGGGTAGTCAGTAGGTGGCCAAGCAGTTACCCAAGAAAGCCTAAATTGATCCTGTAGCTTTTATAAATTGAAAATGTTTCCTGCTTTATTTGTTTAAATCTTATTTTTCTTTAGCTTTTAGAGGGTTAGAATTCCGAGATAAATACGCCTCAAGAATGTTAGTAATATACACTTTAGCGTAAAGCGGAGTTCCCTTGCTAGTAGATCTCCTACCTCCTATTATAATAATGTGATCGAACAAGAATGGTGCAATCAAGTTCTCATGTTGGCACACATTGCTGGGCGAGAGTGAGGGGATCAGGGAATAGAATCAAATCTAAGTATGACAAGTTTTTTTTAAATCACCACAGTCGGTGCAGTCAGCTGTCCAAAGTTATTTTTACCACCTTTTAAACTGGGCCTAACGGTGCCGTTGTGCAATTTTTCTTTAAGGTGAGTGTTGGTCTGGATCAGATGCCGCCAAAACCTATGATCGAGCTGGCCCGTCCGAAAGCTGTCTTACGAAAGGTGTCATGCAAAAATGCAACGTCAGTGATCATGTAGAGTGTGTTGGAGAAGCAAACACTAATTTCGTTTATGCAATTAATCAGAAAGGTGATTCTCTCTTTTACAGTACAGTAAAACCCCGCGTCTAGGAATATGAATTTTTCCAAGTTAGCCTAAACCGGTTCTAAAATAAATAGTAGTTTGCATAAGTTTAGCCTATTTAGGTGAACAGGTTCTTATTTTCAGATGAAAAAGGTAGTCTATTATGTTGGAAATAAAGCCCCGTTAGTGTATAGGTATAGGTATAGGTATAGGTAAATCATTGATATGCATAAGGGTCGAGTCCATGACGTCACCCCTTTTTATAACCTAGGAAAAAAGTGTCTTCCTGCATACTAATTTAGTGCCCAATCCTCCATACTAATTGGGTATAAGTTTACTAATGAGGGTCTTCCTCCATATATAATGAGGTGGATAGTCGTTTCTTTTCATATGGAAAAGCACAATAGGAACAATAGGCTTGCCCGTTAAGTACCTTGAGCCCAGTTTTCGGACCGTCTATTGAAAAAAAAAATACGAATAAGAGAAGCGATCACCTAGCAACGCGAGAAACGGCTCACTTTATCTTATTTAGCGCTAAAACTCAGATATATAAACAAAACACATACAGAAAGTGGTGATGAAAAGTGTTTATTTCAGTTTAGCTTATGTCTTCTTATTTAGTGCTAAAACTCGGATATATAAACAAAGCCAACCCACACATACACAAAGTGGAGCTGAAAACTCTTTAGTTCAAGTTTGTTTGACTATTACAAAACCGTTTTCTCCTTTCTATCTCACTTCTCCTTTCTAACTATTGAAGTCTCAGCGTTTCACGCACCGTTAGTCAGTTAATTATGCGCCGAGTTAACAAGCCCACCGTTGCATACAAATCAGTTCAGCTCTGTAGTATTATCATAAAAACATGCAGAAAAGAAAGCAATTAATGACTTAACAAGGATCAATTAAAACACGGAACTAATCACTAAACACTCGTAATAAAACCAGACACGTTTCTTCAGACACGAGAAATCAACTTTATGACCCTTCAAAATAATTGCATTCCACAAAGATTAGATTAAAGATTCTATTAGAATAGTCAAAAAAGGCAAGCCATCCTTTGTTTTACACTCTGCTCAATGTTTTACTTACCCCTCTCCCTTTTAATTTTTATTTTTCTCCTATTTCTCTCCTTAACTGGAGAGGTTTTACTGGATAACATTATTCATTTAATGTAAATTCTCCGTTTTTGATTGGCTAAAATTACACGCATAATCAGCTACTGTTGACCAAATCTGGAAGAATTTTGTCATATTGAACCGATGACGTCAAAAGTGCAGCAAAGTTGGAGATTGTTAAACCGTTAACCGAGACGACCTAGGAAAGTGTTTGAGTTGTTTTCAAAGTGAGTAATGGCGAAACATTTTACTCGTTTCAGGGGGAGCTATTGTCTGAAAACATAGTAAGAATAGCAGGAAGACAACTCGAAGAAAAACATCTGTTATTTAGAGCACATTTGCAGACCTGGACAGCCCTTTATCCCCTAAACTTTCCGATAAACATGCGCTATTAACATCGACGGAGGTAATTTTAATAAGATTTACTGATGATGCAGATCGATGCACTTTCACCAAAAAATGTGTTACCATCCTGGTAGATTTCTATGACAAGCAATCATCATGAAGAACGGATTTGCCTTGCTAAGTCAATGGCACTATATACACACCTAGGTGTATGGAGGAAATTTCTTTAATGTGTGGTTGTAGAATGTTGTCTACAACAGAGCAAGGCGCCTGGTCACAACGCACATTTTTTGAACAAGCCATATATTAAGCACACTTCCAAGAAATGTGTCTATAACAAAATAACAAAGACTTGATGTAAACAATTCATTGAATTTGTGACTAATTTTTTAATACAGAATATGAACGTTCCCTTCTATTTATCAGAGGAATTCAGTGAAATCGAACAATATTATAAACGTTCCGAGAAGAAAAGCGTCTTGAAGTCATAAACGCCACTATGTAAAATGGAATGATTTTATAATCAAAAATAACAATTCTTATTTTTGTCAATACGTGCCTTGGAAATTGGCGGAAAACAAGTTCACTTAATGAGCGTACAGCCCGAATACCAAAGGTCAGTATTTCGTTCTTGGGCACAGGCAGTATGTATGAACTTTTGCATTCACTTTGGTATCAAGGTAGAATCATACTCGGGCACAGGTCTCAACGCGGAGCACGTAGTGTGAACATAACCTTGCAAAACATTGTGCAGATTCGTTTTTTTGGTTTGATTGTTTGTTTGGTTGGTTCCTACAGGTTATCGAACGAGTCCAAAACCAAGCATCATGTTATCTTCTTTAGATACAATAATGATAATAATGATATCATAATATCATTATTATCATGATAATGATGATGATGATGATGATGATGATGACGACGACGAGGCTCCTTTCCTTCACGAGTTATAATGACCATAACATTTTATTAATAAATTCCTGTAATACATTTTTTTCTCAGTGCCAACCACGATCCCACCCTCACCATCGACGTTTGAATCAACTCATCGCTCAACTTCAAGCTCAACAACTCAAAGGCTTACTTTACCTACAAGTTCTTCAACACCACCAGGTGCTGCATAATGTGATTTTATTTAATTTATTAGAAAAAAATTACTGACCATGGCAGACCAAAATTAAGGTCTATATTGTGTTATGGCGGATCCAGCAACTATTTTGCAGATAGCGGGTTCAATCGTGCACTGATTATTTGAAACAGTTTTAAAGATAATTTTTCTACCTTAATAAGCTTGCCGCTGCACATTTTGACACCTTTACGCAGGCTTTTATATATAATTGATAGAAGCCTCTGGCTAAATATTGTACCTTACCTGATTGGTACCTGATTGGTACAATAAAGGTTGTTGTGTTTGGAAACCCTATATATCTTAATAAAGTATGAGCAAAAGCAAGTGGTGGGTTGTTTGTATTTGGCTCACTACAGAGGGCAGGGCGGGAGGGAGTGAGGGAGGGCTTGGAAAAATAACATGACGGCTTTTGCTGACCCCCATCGCTTTAAAACATTTACTTTAAACCGAGACTTGCTCAAATTCGAGCACTTTTAGCAAACGCTAAAGCCCTGAAGCTAACGCCTGCATAATCAAATAGGTTTATATTTGTTTCAAGACCAAAATATGAATAACCTCTAGCTTATACACCATTAGCTATAGGTTTGAGACTGATTGGGGGAAGCTGGCCTGGAGAGGGCAGAGTGGAGATCTATTACAGAGGTAGCTGGGGAACGGTTTGTGACGATGACTGGGATATAAATGATGCGCGAGTTGTCTGTCGTCAGCTTGGGTATTCGTCTGCTGTCAGTGCTCCACAAAGTGCATGGTTTGGTGAAGGAAGTGGAAAGATTTGGTTGGACAATGTTCAGTGTCAGGGAGATGAAAGTTCCATTGTGAATTGTCGGCACCTTCCATGGGGTGTGCATAACTGTGGTCACTATGAGGATGCATCAGTGATCTGTTCAAGTAAGCGCCATAATAAATAGACTATAT